GATCGAAATGCTATAATGCCATCCTGTTGGAGCTCGCATAGCTTTTCTGAATGTAAAGCATAACCATGACTGAAGCAGGAACTTTTTCAGTACTACGACGATGATGTTCTCGATTCAGTCCACGAAGATACGCCTTCTTCCGAGGAGGAACTCGAGAGAAAGGTTAAGCTTGGTTTTACTTTTTTTACACAATAGTATCTAAACTATGTTGTCTGCCAAGCAAAAGGACAGCTTATGATGTAACAGCGCGATTATGAATCAGAAGCCGATCGACTATTCCAAGAAATAAAAGCGCTTATAGGGACTCCTGTTGGGTAAGAAAACTTCCTTTAAATCTACAGAATCAATGGAACGGAGCTATGTAGAGATATGAAATTTATGGAATGATCCATTCCAAACATTGAAAAATCATCACCCGCAAAAATTACGACCTTCGCTCTGGAAATTGTACAGTAAAAATACGCCTAGAAAATCCGCTTTTCCTCTTTCCAGCTTGTGTGCTTGCACAACTTTTGCATAATAGGTTGAGGCTGCTGTTACAAAGAAGACTATTGTTTGAAGATACAAAATGGCCAATTTTTTTTCTGTGAACCAATAATTCTGTGTGAAAAATTAGCATCATTTTGCGTACCCTCTGGAACATCACTATTTGCTAGCAGTCACGAGTCAATTCCAAACCATGATATATTCAGGAAATTGTGGATAGAGAACAACTGAGGAGCGCAGAAGAGTCCGATGAGTACGAGGAGGAATTTGGAGAGAAAGAAGAAAAGACTAAGGTAACGATATTGAAAGTACAAAACAAAAACGAACTCTAATTCTTTTATCTCGCTAATAGGTATATTATTCAGAAACGAGATTTTGCTCCAATCTCTGGAGACGAGTTTCTTCGAAAAGAAAGGTTTACTGTCGATAAAGAGGTAAGCTGATCACACGTTCCCTTTTCAAGAAAACGAGGCAGACCTTTATGGCATGATTTATGAAAGATAACTCAAATACATTGCGAATCAAAACTTCTGCCAAGAGTCCCTCCCATCA